ATTAATCTTAAATCTTGATTTTTGTTAATAATTAATATGATCGAACATTAATATTATACTAAAGAACAAATTTTAAATTAATATATTTGAAGTTTTGACTTTAATTACCTCTTTTCAAACCCAAAATCAATTCTTCTCTCTAAGTTCTGATTTTTGCCATTAATTAGCAAGAATTTAATTTAATAATTAATTATTACATTAATTTAATTAAATAAGAAAAAAAATAAATTATTTCAGTAAAAAGTGACAATTTAATTAAATGGATAGAGGCTATAGCATTATTGCTTGCAATTTTGCGTGCATAAAAAGTAAAGGGAGTATCAAACAACCAACGAAAAAGATAGCATACAACAAAACATTATAAAAAATGGCAGAAGAGTATAAATAAAAATAACGGGCCATTTACATACGTACCACCCAATTCCTATGTATTTACATATCGAACACCTAAACTTTACATAATACATTTATACCACCAAGATTTTTCATACAACATAGAAAAAACATATGTAAATGCATAAGAGTTGAGTGGTATGTCTGTAAATCTCCCAAATAAAAATACAACGGGAAAGCAGCATGCACAAACAAGGAGCGATATTGTACAGAAAAATACAAACCATGTAAGAAATTGAGATCAAAATGATTACCTGAAGAGAGTGTGCACATCAGCAGTAGTTAGAAAACCTCTTCCATGAAGATCAAGACATCTGAATAAGTAAGTTAATCCTTCAGGAGTATCTTTGTTTTCGAGAGCTAACACGAAATCTAGAAAGCTTCCGAAGTCCATCTCTCGTGCATTACCCCCTCCCATTTTACCACGGCGCACATGTTCATCAAAGGCTACACAATAGTTAAAATAAATAAAGTTTCGGTTCGACTCCATACTTCATAAAGTTGTTTGACAATTTTTTGATATGTAACTTCTCAAAATTCGGAACATGAGTGATATGAGGCCATCAATCAACTTAGATCTATATAAAAAAGACAATCAATATTCTATTCAAGTTAAGCCCAATGCAATGCATTTGAATCAAGTCCTCAATAAATCTCATGTGCCATTAAACTTGCAATATCATGTGAAGTTAAACCCCTTTCCCTATTTTGCTCATATATGAAAAATTAGGGTTGTTACTAATGTAATAGAACTAATTTTTATCAATAATTATTTTAGTAATGCAATATTTTTATTAGGGGCATTTACATACACACCATTGAATTCTTATATATTTACATATCTAACCCCCAAACATTCATATTTACTTGCATCTATTTAAGGGTCTGTTTGGGTCAGTTGCAATTATTTGAAGAAGCAGTTATGCAACAGTTGTAGAAGAAACTACTGTGGGGAAATTGTTGTTGGTGAAGCTGTGTCTTTTTGGTTTGTTTAACTGTACATCATTTGTGTTGTAGTTGTTTCTGAAATAAAGACCGTATTGCTCTTATATAAATATAGTATATGTAAGTTATCCATTTTAGAATTAACATATACATAACAATAGAAACAAAATTAAAAAAAATTGAAGTCACAAGTCTAAAATATTATATCAGAATTTATACATCACATAACACCGTGTAACACAAAAATCAAAATTATATCAACATGTCATATTATCTAAATATTACTTTTAATATCCAAATTATGAGGTCTACTGGAAGAAGCAGCTACACTACTAGGTTTGCATGTCATGTCAACAGGATCATTCGAGCTACCTTCATCTTCACGAGCTTGACTCTCATGTGCTAAACTTTCAACAATTTGGTGACTTGGAGTCCAAGCATGAACTCTCGTGGCAACATCTCCAAACGTCACATCAACTTTTTCTTCTAGTTCAGGATCTATACTAGGAAATCTAAATTTTTTGGCTTTAGGCAGTACCTATAATGAAAAAAAATTAAGTTTGAATATTAAGTACTCATGTGCATGTGTTCAAAAGAAGATGAATAAGTTGTACATCTATCTTCGACTAAGACATCAATAGTTTTCTTAATTGTGTCCTAACCCAACCCAGTTACACCTTGTTTTAACTTCTTCAACACATTCAAGATGTCGCATGCGGCGAATTTGTTTCGTGATTTCCTCTGCCTCATGCTTGCCTCCTGCCCCAAACAGCGGGACGGTGCGCCCTAGCGCCGCCGCCCCAAATGACACCTAAGTTTTTAACATCGCATCAAAAATACCCCCTTCATTATCTTTTTAAAATTGAAATTCACCTTTTCACACATAGGCTTATGATGCCAATGTGTTATAAGTGTAAATATCAAACTTTGGTTATTAGATATTTAAATACATAATGATTGTGTTGTATGTATGTAAATTTTCCTTTTTATTATTAATCCCTCTGATCCTTCAGAAAAAAAAAAAATCATGCTTAAGTAATGAACAACTTTATGGGGATGGTCTTGAATTTATTTAAAATATTCAAGTGCAAGATGGAATTTTTTTTTCCTTAAATTTATAAATACCTTTCTCTGCACTAGAACGATCTCTTGATCTGAAACAAACTGTAAATTTGAGTCCATCTTAAAATAGAACTCGGAACCTAAAGACATGACTGAATCTGAAACTATTTCTTTTAAGCATTTTAAACTTGCAGAAGATGCTGGCCTCCTCAAGCAACTCCCTAATTTGAGTCACATGGAATTGTGCATTGAAAATTTTCCATTGACATGATTTAGTATACCATTGATTTTTTATTTGAATTTAGAAACCGTGGAACACAGTCTGCCACGGATCGAGCGAAGATGTCGTGTGCGGCGAATTTGTATCATGATTTCCTCTCTGCCTCATTCCTGCCTCCTGCCCCAAATTGCTGGACGGTGCGCCCTAGCGCCGACACCCCAAATGGCACCCCCAAATCTTTAACATCACATCAAAAATACAACCTTCATTATCTTTTTAATGAAATTTACCTTTTATGCATACGCTTATGATGTCAATGTCTTCTAACTGTAAATATCAAATTTTGGGTGTTAGATATCTAAATACATAAAAATTGTGTGGTATGTATGTAAATTTTCCTTTTTATTATTAATACCTCTGATCTTTTTGCAAAAAAAAAAGAAAAAGAAAAAAAAAATCATGCTTTAGAAACATCTGAAAATAATGAACAACTTTACGGGAATGACCTTGAATTTATTTAAAATATTCAAGCGCAAGATGGAATTTTTTTTTCCTTCAAATTTATCCATACCCTTCCTTGCACTAGAACTTTCTCTTGATCCGAACCAAACTCTACATTTGAGTCCATCTTTGAATTGAACTCCCAACCTAAATACTGACTGAATCTGAAATTGAATCTATTTCTTTTTAAGCATTTTAAACTTGCAGAAGCTGCTGGCCCACTCAAGCAACTTCTTAATTTGAGTCACATGCTATTGTGTATTGGAATTTTCCACTGACATGATTTAGTATACCATTGACTTTTTATTTGATTTTAGAATACTCTGCTTGCAAATTTATTGAAAGAAAAATCACAGGACAAAGTTTAGTTGTCATTCATTATTTATGGAAGCATAATCTTGTGTTGCAGAATTTATTGATCACATAAAAAAAATTGTTGGACTATCGAAATGAAATTATCATCCATAATGAAAATTCTAAAATTGTAATGGCTTTTAATTGTAGTGCCTAGGATTACTATGAGGAATGCTATATCGATCCCACTTGTTGCACTGCACCTACAATTAGCCATTTGATAGTCCCCAAGCCTTGAAGGATTTCTAGGAAACTGGGACCTACTCCATTGATATTAGTTTTGAGAGAAAAGTGCTAAAATGGTCTCCTTACTCTTTGCAGGGGCCATGGTAGTTTCGATGTCTATAAAAATGTTAATTTAAGCTGACTTTTTTCATATAGGTTGAATTATTCTCCGGACTTTTTAAAGAGTGGACTATATCAGCCTCCATTAATGGTGTCTGAAGCTTAATTTTGCACTTTTATAAACTCCGAGATTAAAATTGTCACATGTAAATTGAGAGAGGGCCATTTTTTAAACCAATTTACTCTTTATTTAGAAGATGGACATGAATAATTAATCTTAGTTCTTATGTTAGAATTTTTTACTTAGACTTTGCACTTTTGACCGTCCAATACTTTATTTTAATGTTTTTTTGGGTTTAAGTATATGCTCTATTCTTCTAAAACTTTTTTAAAATCAGATGTGCTTGAACTGACTATTCAACATTCTCTGTACACTGCTCACTAGATTTATAGATGATCACAGATTATTTAATGGTCCATAGCTAATGTTTTATGATGCTCAACTTCTGAGTTTTATAGAGGTGTTGCAACCCACCTATCCTATTAGTTTGCTTTGAAACTGGGTGTTTTTTGTGATTGTTTTTATGTTTTATTTTGTGAATGATTTCAGGAATTAGGGTTTCTATGACTTAAATGTTGTTTGCTTTGTATTTTAAGTAGCTTATAAGTGATAATTTTTTGCTTTTCTACCTTATGTGACATTTCTATTCTAGTATTCCTTTGGGCTAAATAATTATTCATTTTATCCTTTCTTGTCATTTTTATTTCCAATACATTCTGCTTCGTTCTTCTTCATAATATGCTTATATCAGCCCAAGAACTATGTCTTTTCTGCATGCGTCAGCAGGAGGACGGAGCATATATTATTTATTACTTCCATTTTATCTAAGCACATCTTGAAATGAATGAAATTTTTATTTTAATTTTTATAGGGTGAAGACATTGATTTTGATTATTTAAAGAATACAATTCATCCAATCTTCTGTGGATAGTAGTCATCTATTCAGATATCCAACACTAAAACTTTCATATTTACATTTATAACACTTTGGTGTATAAACCTATGTTTCACTTTTAAAAAGTAGGTGGTGGTGGTATTTTTTATGTAATGTTAAAAATTTTAGTGCTATGCTTGGAAATATGAAAGTTTGGGTGTTAGATATGTAAATACAGAAAAATTGTGTGTTATATTTGTAAATACCTTTCTTTAATAATTTCTTTTATTTTAACTATTGTGTAGCCTTTGATGAACATGTGCGCCGTGGTAAAATGGGAGGGGGTAATGCACGAGAGATGGACTTCGGAAGCTTTCTAGATTTCGTGTTAGCTCTCGAAAACAAAGATACTCCTGAAGGATTAACTTACTTATTCAGATGTCTTGATCTTCATGGAAGAGGTTTTCTAACTACTGCTGATGTGCACACTCTCTTCAGGTAATCATTTTGATCTCAATTTCTTACATGGTTTGTATTTTTCTGTACAATATCGCTCCTTGTTTGTGCATGCTGCTTTCCCGTTGTATTTTTATTTGGGAGATTTACAGACATACCACTCAACTCTTATGCATTTACATATGTTTTTTCTATGTTGTATGAAAAATCTTGGTGGTATAAATGTATTATGTAAAGTTTAGGCGTTCGATATGTAAATACATAGGAATTGGGTGGTACGTATGTAAATGGCCCGTTATTTTTATTTATACTCTTCTGCCATTTTTTATAATGTTTTGTTGTATGCTATCTTTTTCATTGGTTGTTTGATACTCCCTTTACTTTTTATGCACGCAAAATTGCAAGCAATAATGCTATAGCCTCTATCCATTTAATTAAATTGTCACAGCCCAACCCGGGGCATGAAATTAACCAAGGTGGGTACGGACGGTCGGACGGTCGAACGGTGGGAAATTAAAAATCTCTAATTCATTTTCATTAACTAACACCTAATTAAATGAAAGAGTCACTAAATAAATTAAATTTACGTCATTATCGGTTGTCTCCGTCTTCTATAACTTTTATCTTCTATCGTTCATTTTTTAAATCACTTAATTAAACCCGAAAGGTTAGTTTAAAACAACAGTGAGCTAATCAAAGCTCACGCTCTTAAACTACAATAACACAATGAAAAATAAAGTAATATGCATTTAAGTTTTTAAATAAATTAGTATAAAACATTTGATATTTTATGAATATGATCACTAATAATATTTCATAATATTTAAGATGTTTCACCGTACAAATAATATGTCTATATCATTTTATATTTGCACAACCAGCATATGCGCACTATCTAAAATTATACAAATGAAGGTATTTTAGTTTCAATATCCTTTTCAATTTACATGTATAGGTAATTTAGCATTTCCCTGCTAGTACTACAAAGGGTGACTTCATCATAGTCAAACACGCACAAACAAACATACTATGAAAATCACTATCTAATAATGATTATTTCTTTCTCAATTGCATAGTAGTCAATACACTTATATAACATTCAATATTTATGATAATGCTCTGTACACATGATTCCTATAATATGAATAAATTTTTAATAGAATCATAAATTGTGAGTTTGCAATGATTTTAATATAAATGATGACAGTAACAATAACTGTATTTGGTCTAGATGAAGTAAAAATATTACTATAACATAAGAACATGAGTACTCACTTTGATTTTGATTTATTTGTTATTAGATTTGCCTTGTTCTCAACTTTTTCTAAAATTGATGCCTATGATAAACATGATATTACTAAAATTAATTTATTTATATAATTTTACTTAACATTTACCTTAACACAATCTTGATTTTTCCACAAACCAAGCCAAAACTCTAACTTGCATTTTCTTGCTTGAATCAACGTCGCAAATCTTCTTACCAGGCTTTTTAGCATAAGTAATATGATTTCATCTTAAAATAAATCATTTTAATATAGATACATATCCAATAACAACCTTAACCTTTCTTTGCTGCTACCAACTTTTCTCGGTCCAAAACTGAAAATTCTGAAACTTGAATCTTGATTTAATAACACCTTAATGTTTAACAGTTAATAAATAAATATATAAATTAAATTCATTAATTAATATGATAAAACCCTAAGCCACTCTTCTTCCTTTATGTTCGGCTCGATAAAGCTCTCCTACTCAAACCATTGCTTAGCACCATATGAATCTCGCCTAAGAGAAACATTGCACACTTGCTCGATTCCCCTCCCTTCTTTCTATGTGCATTTAGTCGGTGTCGTCTACCGCTCCAACACCCAAGACAGCACCGCACGCAAAAGAGCCTCCTTTTCTTTTCTCTTAATGATTGGCTAGGAACGAGGCCTCCTCTGCTATCTGAAGCCCCCACCCTTCGCTCTGAAGCCTCATGCCCACATAAACGACGTAGTCGTCAGCTGACACATTCCTGATGCTAGGGGAAGCGCTAGCTTGCACCCATCCCTCTAATGCCTTCGTTTCACATCAATGGACTCCCCGTGTAAACGATGTAGTCGTTAGTCTCTCGATCTCGTCTTTGTTTCCCTCATTAACAATGATTTATAGGTCAGAACATCACATTTCTGACCGTTTGCTCATTTCTCTCCCTTTAACTCCCTCGAGGAGATGAAACGATATGTCATAATCTTTCCCACTTACAAAAGTTTCTTCCTCAAAGATTATAAACATATCGATGGCATCTCTCATTAAGCCGATCAACATGAAATATCCATAAATTTCATGATAAAAATTAGGGGTTATTCATCATGATGAAAAATGATAATTGTAAGGTAATGACCTGATACAACGAGGCTCAACTATACTCCCCAACAAAATTAGGATAACAACATATCTAACATTACACATAGTTGCTAAAGTAAGAAAATATACTAGGAAAACACTCTGACATGTAAAAAAACGCCAAACTCACCCGACCCTATCAACATCAGCAGCATTAGGTTTTTTAGGCTCATTATGAGTAATGGAATAAACTCAAGGCCAAATAGGTTTTCTTGGTTGAACTTGGGTTGGATTTGAAGCTATAGACTATAACCTTCTTTGCCCACATGTAGTCTTCTATGAAGGAGCACCGCCTGATTTCTGATCTTCAATGCTCTTCTAGCCAAGCGACGAGCAATATTGTGCTATATGACCAGGTTGATTACGCCAGTAGCAAATGTTTGAGTCTATCAAACATTCAACTTTATGTTGTCTTCCACATTTGAAACATGTGATTACATCACTCTGAGTCATACCTCTACCAAATCCACTGAATTGAAGTTGGACCTCTTCCCATTGGATCCTTTTGATTGATCTGCATGTTCTCCTTTATCAATACTCTTCTTCTTGTATGTCTCCTTATGCTTCTGAGTAAACTGATAATCGAACTCCAGTCTTCTAGCTCGTTCCACTAATATTGATTATTCATTGATCCCCAAAGGCACCAATGACTGTATGATCGAATCATTTAATCTTGAAGGAATTTGTAGCACTTTTTGTTGTACTAACGATCAACTGTAGCGCATACCTTGACAGTGCAGTGAATTTTACTTCATCTTGAACGACTGTCTTCTCTTTTATACCAATCAGATAAATTTGTTTTGTATTTTCTTCGAGTAGATAGGGGTACAAACCACTCTCTGAATAGCTCCATGAACTTCGAATTTACGTTCATGTTGGGTATGTCCCCTAGTCTGTCTTGAAGTTGCCTATGCCATCACCTTTCAACTTCTTTTTTTTGTACAAATGTAGCTAATGACCCTCTTCTTTCACTCGGACAGACTATAATATCTAATATATTCTCAATTTGCATAAGCCAATTCTCTTGCATAAATTTATTCTTTAGTTCCTTTAAACAATGGTGGACGTAAACCTTGGAATTTCCTTAAGTACTTATTCACAATAACTGTATCACTTCCAATAGACAGTGATCTGGACTCCTATATCAGCTGAGTCATCATTGTCATCATCTGAGTTAGGACATTCGTGTTCACATTTATAGTGGGTTGTACTTATTGTTTTCTTTCACTCCCTTCTATAATTTTGGGTGTACCCCTTTGCTTGAATGAATATAATTATTAATTTGAACTATCTTAAATGTTTAATTTTATTATTTAAAATTTCTTATAATTATTCTATTGGATTTTTAATCAAGATTAAATTAATTAATCTTAAACATTATCTCTGATACCACTTTTATCACGACCTAGCTCGGAGCTTGGAATTAACCAATGCTGACACAAACGGTTGAATGGTGGGAAAATAAAAATTTATATATTCATTTTCTATAGCTAACATCTAATCAAATGAAATAATTACTAAAGAAATTAAATTAAAGCAGTACAATTAAATTTACCTATTACAGGTTCGCGTCTCTATAAACATTCTCTTCTATCATTCATCTTTTAAATCACTTTATTGAACCTGAAAGGTTAGCTTAACACTAGTTAATTAAAATCAATAAATACTTACGCTCCTATACCATAGTAACACAATGAAAAAGGAAATAATGCATGCTAGTTAAGCTTTTAAATAAATTAGTATAAAACATTTGATATTTTATGAATATAATCACTCAAGATATTTCGTAATATTTAATATATTTTACTATATCAATGATATATATATACATATATGTATATGTGTATATATATACATATATATGTGTATATACACATATATATGTGTGTGTGTGTGTGTGTGTGTGTGTGTGTGTGTGTGTGTCTGTGTGTGTGTGTGTGTCTCTGTGTGTGTGTGTGTGTGTCTCTGTGTGTGTGTGGCGTCGTCTTCCTTCCCGCTCGGCTCTGCTAGGGTTTCGCCCGATGGCGAACCCTAGCAACAGTTACAGCTTCACTAATTCCTCTTTGACATCTTCGCGCTCGATTCCGTATATCTCCCCCGCTTCTTCTCCGGATCTGAGACGAGGCTCGTCTTCCGTCTTCCTCTCGCGAGCTTTCCTGGTTCGGGACTTCGAAGCTCTGCTGCTCCTCTGCGGCCCATCTCGCGGGTACCACTCGCGTCTTTTGCAGGCTCCGTCTCGCGGGTACAACTCGTGATTTCTGCGGCTTCTCTGCGCTCGTCCCGTCTCACAACGTTCTTTTTTTTAGTTTCGGTTATTTCAATGCGATTTTTTCCCTTGTTAATCATATATGTGTATATATACATATATATGTGTATATATATGTATATACACATATATATGTATATATACATATATGTATATATATATATACATATCATTTTATGAGTAATATATGAATGACGTCGTCTTCCTTCCCGCTCGGCTCTCTTAGGGTTTCGCCCGATGGCGAACCCTAGCAACAGTTACAGCTTCACTAATTCCTCTTTTACAT